CTGTTCTAGAATGTAATGATCCGATCCCATTAATTATGGGTCTACCAGGAGCGTTAGTCAAATTTTTGGGGATTTTAGGTAAATAATATATGATCGGCATTTTCCAATGGTTCAGAACTAAATATCTACTTTCTTTTTCTGATAAAATCCCCTCCTTTTCTGCCTCCTTCACTAAATTTTGTAATATTTTTTTATATAGTCTTATTGGGTTGCTTTTAATTTTCATATAGGTTTCTTGGTCACTTAACATATGTTTCCATTTCCTTCTCATAAGAAATTCTATCTAGAATGACCATCCCTCCTCCCTTGTCTGCGGGTCTGATCACAATATTTTTTTTCTCCTTCAGGGATAACAACCCTAACTGAAAAGCTTTTTCTTCCTGGTATTTTCTCTTTTCTACCTCCACTAAATCATCAATGACCATTTTGTTTAAAGACCTCTGTGTAATGATTCGTATTCTTAGTAGGATTAAATGTTGAAAAGTTCCTCAGCCCACTGTGTATGAACATGTCACAAGGGCTATTCTTATTCACACTTTTATTAGGGCCCAGTAGTGATGCAAAATTTTTTTTTATATTTAATTTCCTCATATACTTATTAATGTCAATATATGTGCCAAATCTATTCAAGTTGGCCTTTGGTGCAAATTTCAGGCCTTTATCCAAAACTTCAATCTCATCCTGGGTGAGGGTAACTGAACTAATGTTGTAAATACCATCCCCTATACATCTTTCCTTTTCCTTTTGCTGTCTCTCGATTCCTTCCCCTGCCCCTCTGGGCTTATTTGTTGCTCTCTTCCTAGGGTAGTGGTCCTTCCATTTCTCCTCTGTATTTGTTTGGATAAGGGAGATCCCCTTGTGCCCCTCTTCCCCAACCCTGATGGTGAAAGGGGGCTCTTTGATATGGCCCTGGTGGTCTTCCCCTGTGTCCCCTTGGAAAAAAATTTCCCCTCCTAGGGCAACCACCATACTGTTGGGGATTCCCCCAACCATCCAGTGGTTGGAATCTATTCTGGACTGGAATTTGAAAATGAGTATTGTAGAAGTTCCTAGGGCCTCTGTTTCCTTTTCCCTTACTCCTCCAAGGGGAATTATACTGTCCCCTTTGTGGGTTCATATTTGTATGAGTATTTTTCTCTTCAATTAACTTATCTTTAGAGGATATGTTGTTTTTCATAGGTGAATTGGCCAGTGTAGAACTAGCTGATTGGCTGATTTCTGTACTATATCTTGCCATTTATAGATATTATTACTTTTATAATCCCCTATATCTCTAATATATTTTCTATGTTTTCTTTTCTTTACTTCTAAATCTTTCTTATCCAATTGTTCATGTAATTTTTTTGATAGAACATTAAAGTCATTATGATCTTTAAATCCTTCAATTTTATTCTTAAGTTCATTTAATTGGGATTCTACTGATACTAACTTCCTTTTCTTTCTATCCATTCGCATATTCAGTAGTTGTCTACATTTATGGAAAAAATCCATCCACTCTTTATTAGATTCCTCATCAATGAGGCCATCATTTGGGCCCAAATCCCATCTTAAGCATCTAGAAAAATATCTGGTAGAAGATATTGTTCCTAAAGTTACAACATCCCACCATAGTTGTATTTTTTTCTCCATATTATACCCTATTTTCTTAAACAGGTGCTCCACATTATCATCTGCTACCATATGTGTCATGGAAAATACTTCCTCCAAATTAATTTGTCTAGAATTAATAAAATTAAATATATCCATAACCCACCGTGATTTTTAATAAACACTGGACAATTATTAAAAAGTATAGAATTATAGGCCAGTTAATAGCGGACAAACCTACCTTAATCTATAGAAGAACCAATAATTTACGTGACATTCTAGTAAAAAGTGTTATTTCTCCTCCCAAGCGAAAGAAGAGTAACATGTTTAATTTGAAAGGTTTTTATCCATGCAGAAAGTGCTGTATTTGTAAAACGATAGGAACTAATATTAGGGTCATATCAGAGTTTACCTCCCAGAGTACTGGAAAAAGTTTAAAGATAAAGAATTTCATTACATGTAACATGGCATTCGTAACGTATATTTTAGAGTGTTCGTGTCATCTACAATATGTGGGAAGGACGTCTAGACCCCTCTATAAAAGACTCAGAGAGCATGTTACTAACATAAGAAAAGGAAAAAAAGGATCACTGTCTCTCCAGACATTTCAGAGATGCCCATAATTGTGATCCGAGGTCCCTGAAATTTTGTGGCATAGATTCTATAGAAGCCCACTGGAGAGGGGGAGATAAAATTAAAACATTATCACAAAATGAAACATTCTGGATATTTCAGTTACGGACACTTAGACCTAGAGGATTAAAATGTTGATTTAGATCTTAATTGTTTTATTTCTAATTTTTAATATACATATTCATAGGTTATATAAATTGTTTTAGATGAATATTGACATTTGTAATTTATTCTTTATTTTATTACATATTTTTTAATATTTATAGGTATTTTGTAGCTAGTTTTTATTTATATAATACTTAATTTAGGTATTCGTTCGTTACCAGTAGGGGATGTTAGGGTATTATGAGGATCAGGTTTATGGATTTATTAATATTAATATAATTTAATTCAGTATATTTATTCTTAGGGATATTCTAATTTTAATCTTATATTTGTATTTTATTTTATTTATTTCTTAATGGGTTTTTATTGTGCATTATTAACATTTGTAATTTGTGGGGTCCCATATGTTGCTATGTATATATTATGTATTATTTTATTTTATAATATTGCATTTACGATGTATTTATTTATATTAGATGTAATACTTGTGAGGAGAGAGGATAGGGATGTAGCCAATGGGTCACCTTATACAAATGTAGTTATTCGTTATCTGAGACACTCATCTAAGATAGGATTCCACTGCTTGGAAAGTTATGGGCAGTTTCCCTAATCCAACATGGCGGCCGGAGCTTCGCTAATAGGCTGAGGAGTATGTTAAATTGCAGCCAGGTGTCCCGGCGTATCTATCCCTTAAGATTAAGTCCCGGATGTGACGAAACGCGTCAGTGGAAGTGACTTCGGACGTACAGAGCAGGAACCGGAAGTAATACGGCGGCCATCTTTGACTCTGGAGCAGCAATGTTTGTCCACTTGGAAGCTGCCTGGTAATCCCCAGGAACTTGGGGTTTTTTCTATGCGCAATTTCTTGTACATACATGTAAGCAGATATATTAAAGTTTAAAGTTCTTGTGGTGTACGGAATTACACTATCATCTTTTCATATAAATCTTGCTTGGAGCCTGGAGACCGTGGAAAGGGCTTACGGGTTACCATGAGGGGATGATTTTACAGCGATACGCTTCAGGAGTGGAGGAGAGGAGAGTGAGTGGTCTGCTGATTCCTTCAATTGATATCTTACAGCGTTTTTCTTTTTATCTCTGGTAAGGGTACATATGCCTTACTTAGTAGAAGTGTTACACCACTGGAGTTGTTTGCACTGAGTGAAGCACATCACTGATTTGGCACAAGTGTTGTTTGCTTTTTTTCACGGTTTTCTGCAGTATTTTTTGCGTTTTGCACGCATGGAGTGATTTTCTAGATGAGTAATTAAGTTAATACACTATTTTGAGTTTCTTTTTATTTGAGGTTTTTCGTGGAAGCCATTTGAGGGGCTCAACATCTTAAAGAATTGATATATATAGGTGGGATATATTCATCTGTCTTCATCTTTTTGAATTGTTGAGACACTGGACACTACTTAGTCAGAAATTTGAGTGACTATATGGTTTGGGACTATTTATGTATGGACACTTATTATATTGAAGATTTTTTTTATTCATGATTTAAGGTTGGGGGTGAATGTACTAGTAGGTGGGCTATGTGATTCTTTTTGGAATTGTTTTATGATTAGTGCTTTCAAGGGTTGAAAGTTTTTTTTCTATTTAGAATCTTCACGTTTGTTGGGTTGTTTTGAGGAGATACCGTATTTACGTTTGTATTCAGTAGAGTAGTCATCAGAAAATACAATACAAATACATTACATCACTTTTCTAAATTCTTTTCTTTCATATGAGCATTTTCGTATCTCTAGTAACCTTTCCACTTTCGATGTGAGACTAGCAGGTGAAAAAAAAATGGATGATCGTTCGTCCAATATTCTTGTTGTGTGTACGGGGCTTAAAGCTTAAAGGATAAGTTCACCTTTTGTAACATGTTATACCCATATTAAGGGTGTAATATGTTATGAAAGGGCTGGCTCCCGCTTCCCCCCCGATCCCCCATTTTAACAGCCAGAGGGGGATCTTCTACCCCCGCTAGCTGTGACTTTTTTTTTTTTTTTGTTATATAAAAAATTGGCCGTGCAGGACTCCGTCCAGTAGCGTCACTCATTCACAGTATTCTGTGAATGGGAAAACTACAAGTTCCAACAGTCTTTGTGGCTGTCGGCTTGTAGTTCTCAGTGATTCTTCCTGTCAGTGTATCTGCTTGTCCGTATGAGGTACGAGCACACAGATGCACTGACAGTCCTGAATGGCACCAGTGATCTGCTGATCACTGATGCAATGCTTTACAGGCTCCCAAAATAAAAAACAGTACATGCACATTATTTTACCTGAAAAAAAATGTGCATTTATTATTTTTTGTTAAAAGGTAAACTTATTGTTCTGTCAAGCTGTGCAGCAAAAGTTAAAACCTTAATACCAAAAGAAATGTTTTTTTTTCTGTTACTGCTTAAAAAGTGTTTAACTGGTGTTAGGCTTCCATTTTGTTGGTCACTCATGTAATGTTCTTCTAAATCCACCAGTCCATCTAACACTGCCCTCTACAGCTCTTCTGTCCAAGGGGTCTCCATTGCTCCTCTTTGGTTAGTGGATCCATGCTAGGACATGATGTGTGTTCCTGGCCGGATCATTAGGTGAAAGTTGGGGAACAAAAATAAAAACAGAAAACTAATGCACTCACCACATTTAAAGACTTGCAAGCTGCAATTTATTAATTTTGTGGGTTTAGATATTCCTTACACCAGGCCTTGAAATTTCTGCTCGCATTGGCGAGTGGAAATTATGGTGGGGGCGAGTGTGTCCCCCAGGGCCGTCTTGCTCAGCAGGCTCAGAGCTCAGGCCAGATCTGTCATTGGCACTGGGAGCCATCAGACTGCTCAATAGCTGAGCGCAGTGAAAGCAAAGGAAGGAGTGTGTTTTGTACTCTCTGCCTCCCCCTAGAGTGCAGTACCAGGCTCTGTGAGTGGACGTAACGAAGTACTGCAACTTTTTATATTTGGTGTGTGTGTGTGTACATATATTTGTATGTGTGTGTGTACATGTATCTGTGTGTGTGTACATGTATCTGTGTGTGTGTACATGTATCTGTGTGTATGCATGTACATGTGTGTGTGTGCATGTACATGTATGTGTGTTTGTACATGTGTTTGTGTGTATTTACGTGTGTGTGTGTGTGTGTGTGTGTGTGTGTGTGTGTGTGTACATATATGTATGTACATGTGTCTGTGTGTATGTACATGTGTCTGTGATTGTGTATTTGTGTTTCTACATGTGTCTGTGTGTATGTACATGTATGTGTGTCTGTACATGTGCCTGTGTATACATGTGTCTGTATGTGTGTGTATGTACGTGTGTGTGTGTGTGTACAGGTGTCTGTTTGTGTATGTACATGTGTCTGTATGTAAACCTACATGTCTGGGTGGTTTGGTCAGGTTTCAGGATTGTGGTTATTTTGGAGGGTAGAGTATGAGGCATTTGAGGTACTGCTGGGTTGGATAGTAGGTAGGATATGCTTGGTAGAGTTATGGTTTTGTGAGTGAAAGATTATGGGGGGGGGTTATGATTGTATGCGGTGCATGGTCTAAGTATGATGGAGTGTTTAGGGGACATTGGAGGCCTTGATGTAATGTGGGGGGACTCTGGAGACCCTGCTGTAATGTGGGAAACATTTAACAGTGTCATTTCATGAAATAATTTACGAGGGCGTGTTTAGGGGCGGAATTAGGGGTGTAGCAGGGTATGGGTTGGGTGGGGCAACTGGTGGTGAGTAACTCTTAAGGCCTGGCTAGTAGCTCAGGACTTGAGATTTTAAGCCCTGCCTTACACTACACACACAGCTGAGCAGTGACAAATTTTTCTATCGCTATATTGTATTAAATAGAATTTACGCAGAGACACAGTTACAATGAGAAACTACCGCTGTGCCCTTTTTTTTTTTTATAAAACTCAAAATCATTGTTATGGGTGTCCTTGTATTGCCTGCTTACTGTGTACCCAGTAAACTGTGTGGTAGTGTTCTAAATCTAGTGTTTTAATATAAATTATGAAAAACATCAGTTTAAAAGTATGTATACTAACAAAATAAATAAAATAAAATTGCCCCCAAATCATTCTAGGTTATTGGATCAGTTGGTCATATTTGGTGCCCTGAACTCTTCTTTTGAAAAGAGATAGGCTTTCCATATACTGTTGACCATATTTATTAAGGCAAAAAGAGTCATAAAGCTCTTAGAAACCCATACAAACTATACAGTAACATACTTTCATAGCTCAGGTCCCTCTGAGCTGATAAAAAGTGAAATCTGATCGGGTCTTGAGGGTTTTTGCTCTTTTTAGCTGATGTATTACTTGGAAATTACTTTATGAAATAAGCCTATTTAGGGGAACAGAAGGTAATATGTTGTGCTAAGTGAACCGACCAGATCAGCTCATGCATGTCCCTATTAATTCCACTATATTTTCCTCGGAATACTGACACTGTGTTGGTCCGTTTCCTCCCTCTTACAAATTTGACTCATACAGGAAAATGAACAGTGGAAAAAGAAGGAAAAATTATTTTTAAGTGGACTGCAATAAGAAAGGCAATGAACATATAATTTAAGTAAAATAATTTATAGGGTTATTTTGGAACTTAGTGCACATGCCAGGAAAATAATTATGTAGCCAGACAAATAGTGAATTCATCAGCAAAATGTTAAACAAGGGGAAGTTATTAATGGCAAGTACAGCTGCTTAGAGGTAAAATGTTATTATACAGGTAAAACAGTATGGGCATGATCCAACACTCTTCTATGGAGAAGAAGAAAGCTTGAAAAGTACCAAATGTTGTCTTTTGGCAGAGCATGACTTTGAGTTCAGGCTTTTCGGAGATATTTGCCTGTCTATTGGCAGCTCCACTTTTCAAAGCTGTCTGGGTTTCAGATTTATAATTGTAGTTTGGATAGAGTTGGTTAGAGATCTTACTGCACCTATTATTGATATGCACTGCTGGTACTAAACACACTTTAAACTATTGCTGGATGATAAGTAATGTAATTCATGCTTTACTGTGTGACTGCTGTAGTGTGCATTTTGGTGCCAAATGCATGAGACTGCTGACTATTGACCCCTGACTGCTACTGTCATAACATTTGGAGTGAGATTTGGTGATGTCACTGTGCGTCTTGCTGGAGAGGAAGCTCTGCCTGAGGACCTGCATGGTAGTATTTCCCTGCTTCTTTATACATTCTATTGAACCCCTCCTGCTCCAGCTTATTTTTTTCCTCCGCCAGTCATGAAATCACCATCATCGATCATCAGAGGGCAGGGGTAATTCTGGTTACAAGTCCTTTGTTCTCTGCACATCTTTTTTTTGGCACATTCTAAACCGTTTAAAACTTCCTAAAGATTATGCTTCAACACCTGAATCCTTAAATTTAAACCCATAAAATAAACCCTTATCACACATACTACCATCTAATATTTACAGTATAGTGTATCTTAAGCCAAAACTTAATAAAGTAAGGTATGTTTGAAACCGATTATTATATTTGGCTATGAAGCAACAGGAAGCGAATGAAAATATCTCGAAAGTAAGGGGAAATTTAATCTTAGACAACTCTTACTTGCACAGATTCTCTGTAAAACTTTGGATTTCCCTTCACTTTGTGCTCTGGTTATTTGGGCTTTTTATGACTGAAGTCAATGTAGACTCTTTCATTTCTTAGGTGAGTGAAAGGTCAGTGTATGTTAAAATGTTATAAAGGTGCAGGTTCAGAATATTCTATGGATTTAACCCTGGCACTGAGGCATGCTGAGAATGTACACTGAGCTGCACTGCAGCTTCATTCTAATTAATGAGTTCATGAACAGTCAGGTAATACTAAATTCCTAAAACTGGAGCATACGAAATCTGGTGCAACTCTGCTTTGAACCCAATCGGCTTCCAGGTTTTGTTGTTGGAGCCTAGTTGAACACGCTGACGTTGGAGGCTGATTTGGCTACCATGCACAGATGCACCAGATTCTGAGTGCTCCAGTTATAGTAAATTTCCCCCATTATGTTGCTTGTAAAATAAAGAAAAACTTACATTATTTTTGGGTGGGGGTAGATGAGGAATTACTTTTACATAGACGATAACACAATGATTACACGTTTATGGTCTTTTCTTGTTTTACAGTAGCTTAGCCATTCATCCTGGTGCTCAGCATAAACAGTTTTGAGGTTTGATTACTGTACTTAGCCAAAGTGGCTTTTACCTCGTTGTGATATTGTAAAATGTTCTAATCCTGCATTTTATATTTAGCTGCAGCTAAAATTATTTAGTAATATAATATTGTATTAACTTGTGCTTTCTGTTGGTTCCAGAGGAGATCTGTACGCTGGTGATTGCTGAGACCTTCCCAGAAGATGCAGGCACTTTCACTTGCACAGCAAGAAATGACTATGGATCAGTGACCTGTAATGCACAGCTCACTGTGCTTTCTGGTATGTCATTGGTGTGATGTCTGCTATGGCTTCCTGACACTGACAGTGATATCTCTATCTGTTTTATTTATGTTAATGCTTCATCCATCAAGGTGTCATCCATTAAGATCTCTACTGCAACAAATTGTTTATGTCAAACACGCAAAACTAATGAGGCAGAACAAAGAGTAGTACTGGTTATTTCTTTCCTTGTCAAGGATGGATTGTAGGGTGAAGGGGCCATGATGAAGCTATGAGTCCACTGCAGAATGCAATACTTTAAATGTTTTTTTTTTTTTAATAAATACTGCAGAGTTCTGGAATGGTTCCATGGCAGTAGATAACAAAAGGGTTCTGTCTTGCAAATCTACTTTATTTTAGTTTATTTAGTTAGTGTATGGTTTTCTCTTTTCGTTTTGTATAGAATAGAGAGAGTAGAAGCTGTGTTAGGTTTTTACTTCTATCTGGGGCACCATTAGAGACATTTCCCCTTACTGCTGTCAGCCTGTCTCCTCATGGGGGGTGGAGGGGGGTGCAGCCTGGGTCTCACCAGTGCTCCAAGAGATCCTGTACCTGGCCCAGCTCTCCTTCTCCTTCTTCACGACCACAGAGAGGGAAGGAAGTAGTGGTGCTAGAAGAACAGCGGGCACCTTCTGATGGATGGACAGTGGCCATCAGGTTGTGCTGGCTCGGTCTACCCGCCGCCAACCCTTCCACTGTGTGGCATGGCTCCCAGCAGGCCACAGACCAGCATCGGTCCACAGCCCAGGGGTTGGGGACCCCTAATAGAGAGAACAGTTTCACCAGAGAGGAAGTGAGGGCAAATGTGCAACATCAACACTTACAGCAATAAAAAGCTGAAAGGGTTTCTGGCCTTCTCCTACTCTGTTAAAAAAAACCATTTTGCTCGTGGAGAGTTTGCTTTATTTTCTGTTGACTGGACATACATTTAAACAAGTATACTTTGTAATATACCTAACAACATGAAGCATACACTGCACATAAGGTCTAGTTAAAATATCTTTATATATTACAATGTGGTAGTTATGGTATTTTTGTATTATTTAAAAACATGATTATGGCTGATATTTCTCTTTAAATATGGAAACCTGCACATGCAACTTTAATGCTATAACTGTAAAAAAAAATAATCTAGAAAAAAAAGATAGTCTGGAGGAGATAGCACATGTGACTGGTTTATTTAACTTGATTGCACTGATTGGTGTGTTGCTTATCATCCATGGTTAATCCATCTTCTATGCTGATCTTGTCATGCTCATTTACATTAAAGGGTGGGAAAGGAATATTTTAAATATCTTCTTTTCTGTTAAGGTGTACAAGTGGCAGTATTGTCAATGTGAAATGTATTGAAATGTTCCTATTTTACAATGAGGCTGATTTACTAAACCAGGAGTAGGCAACCATTGAGAGGTGGCTATCTACCTGAACAACATGAAAGATCAACGATCACCAGGGTTCATTGCTCCATTTTTTGGTTTAGAAGTTAGCTAGAAAGGCCTAACTAAATAGTAAGGAAATCTTAGAACAGTGTAATACAACAAATGCCACTGTAAAAATATAAACTCGGCTTGCCTTAAAAGTGGACAGTGTTAGTAAAGCAGTGGACAGTGTCAGTAGGGCAGAGGACGGTGTGTGAGCAGTGTCAATAGGGCAGTGGACAGTGTGTGGACAGTGTCAGCAGGGCAGAGGTTGGTGTCAATAGGACAGTGGACAGTGTCAATCAGCAGAGCAGTGGACGGTGTCAGTAGAGCAGTGGTGTCATTATGACAGTGGACAGTGTGTGGACAGTGTCAGTAGGGTAGAGAATGGTGTGAGAACAGTGTCAATAAGGCAGTGGACAGTGTCAATAGGGCAGAGGTTGGTGTCAGTAGGGCAGCGGACAGTGTCAGTAGGGTAGAGGTT